ATATATATATATATATATATATATATATATATATATATATATATATATATATATTCTCCAATTACAGAGTACAGAAGCTTTTTTTAAATTATTGCGTTTTGATAACCAGGTGTCAATGGTTGCCCTGATGATACGTGCAAAGCATTACTTAGCAAAAAATATGTTTCCCTTCTGCAAAACTAACATAGTAAATGTTCTGCCCAGGCCCACGTTGCGGAGAGTGGGAGATGGAATGCCGAGGCCACGGGAGGAACTTTTCCTGTATAAACGCCAGTCTGATCTGTGACGGCAACAGGGACTGTCCCCACGGCGACGACGAAAGAGATTGTGCTTACAGTAAGATCGTCATTTGCTGTGGCCAGTCTTTTGCATTGGTGGTTCAGTGGTTAATGTCCCTACCTCTTGGCCTGAGTGTCTGGAGTTCGGTTGACATGCACGCTATTAGAAAAGTTTACAATAGGCGGAACGTGACACTTAACTCCACCTTCATTTCTCCACGACAGCGTTGGAAATTTCCTTCAAGATCGTTACTTGTATATAAAAATATATTTAAGTTTTGTCTCATTGGTGTCAGTCTTTCCACGATATTCACACAAACTTGCGTTTGCTAAAACTTGCGTTTGTTAAAGATTGGGCCAATATTATACACATTCCTTCGCTGATATTCAAAACTTGAATTATTTTGATTTCCAGGTGACAGCCGTTGCATACGAATGCGGGAAGCCGCTATGAGGAACATGTCTATGGGCCAGTCGCGGGTGTTCGTGCCTGCGTGTGACGAGTTCGGAGAGTTTGAACCGACCCAGTGCGAAGAAGACAGTAGCGGGGAGTGTTGGTGTGTGAACGGAGCAGGTCGGGAGATACCGGGCACCAGAACATGGCCGGGACAACCGCCACAGAACTGCTCCATGGGTTCGTGTGTTTTTCAAATGTTGTAACACACCACAGCGTAATTTGTATATGTGTATGTATATGCATACGCATACGCACACACACACACACACACACACACACACACACACATTCAGAAAGGCCCACTTCAGAAAGTACATTGTACTGTCTGGCTTCCTTGTACTGGCCAATTATACATTTTCAGTGATCTAAAACTGGAAATATTATGTATTTATAGGATACGGGAGTTTTTCTTTTACATAACCAAAATTTTACATTTTACAAAGTTTACATTGCTGACGTTTCGGTGTCTATCAGACACCTTCCTCATAATTTCTGCCTGGAGTTCTGCTTCTCGCCGCTATTTGAAGCCGATATAGGTAGCGAGAATCAGAACCCCAGTCAGAAGCTCCGAGGAAGGTGTTTGATAGTCACCGAAACGTCAGCAAAGTTGTCTTGGTTGTGTAAAAGAAAACTCTTGTATCCTATACTTAACCAACCTGATGAAACTATTTTAGTATATATATATATGCATATCTCTTCTCCAGGATGTGAGCCCCTGGAGTACGGCCAGTGCTCAGGCATGGGTTACATGACCAGGTTTCCCCACATGTACTTTCCCGAGTGGGAGAGTCAGGACGTGGCGTTTGAGGAGTTCAGCAAGTATCTGCAGCTCTCCCACTGCCACCCATACCTGCAGGACTACCTGTGCGAGTTCTTCTTTCCAAGATGTACACCTAGAGGAGCAAGGTGAGGATAATCTCCAAGCAGATCTTTCCGTGGTAAGACAATATCCATTGGCCAGAAGAGTGTTCATTAACATACAGGACAATGGATACGGTCTTTTGCCACCCAACCGAAAGATCTGCTTGGAGATTAGGTGAGGAAATAGCCTGGTTACCAAACCTATAATAGCTCCCGAGTCCTACATCCTCTCCGCGGAGAGGATGTAGGACTCGGGAGCTATAATAGGTTTGGTAACCAGGCTAGTGAGGAAAGGCCTGTAGTTTTATCAGCATGGAGTGTTCAGCAAATGAAACCTGAAGGAATCTTCCAAACTTCAAACGAATACTTTGTTTTGATTTGTTTTAACTTTGTTATTGGGTCTAACATTAGGCTAAGTCAGAATTTAGTGTCACTAGATTCTAATTTAAACTAGAGTTGTCACATTATGTGCCATATTGTTAAACTGAACATTCTACATCGTTTCTGCCGTTTTAACATCATTGTAGGACTTGATAATATATTACTAATTAAGATCAAAATATGCATGGAATAAGGCTTATAAATTATGATCGTGACAAAATTTAACCACATTGTCTTTTTTTTATATACTAACTGGTGAACCATGTTTCTTTTTTCGCAGACCCATCTGCCGTTCGTACTGCTATGAGATGTCGGAGGCGTGTTGGAACGACGCGGTGGCTGTCGGGATACAGTGGGACACGCGGGGATGCGACCTGCTGGAACTGCCGGAGGAAAACTGCATCAGGTCTCCTTTCGGTGAGTAGTGGTTGTGAAATACATCTTATTGAAGGAAGGAAGGAAGGAAGGAAGGAAGGAAGGAAGGAAGGAAGGAAGGAAGGAAGAAACATGAATGTATATATAACTGTGTGCATGAATAGATGATGCAAATAGTAAGGGGGATAGGAATGACCTCTTTTTTTAACTTTTCTTAACTTTAACTAACCCCCCCCCCCATAGCCTCCATAGCGGTTGTGAAGTATTGCACTGGGTGGGCCGGCTACTCTCTCTTTTCACCCCTGAATTCTGGGTCTGATTAATACGACTGATGATGCATGCATGCAATCTGGTTCAGAATCGAGGATCCGACACTTCATTTCTTTAGAAGGGGTCAAAATCCTCGATTCTGAACCAGACTTCTTTGCAAGAGAAGTGAAGGAGGCAGTCTAAATTAGAGCTCACAGACCTACCCTGAACAGCGACGGGGGGCGACACAAGTTATCTGGCACGTATAACGCACTACTACGGTCATGTGTCTCTGACGTCACGTTCCAAGAGTAGATGGGTCCATTCAGTGAACAAGATTGAAGGAGGCAGCCGAAAATTTGGCCCAATTCATTCTTTGGTCTTTACTTCAAAATTAGTTTTGTTTCGTTTTGTTTTGTTTCCCAGCCAATATAAAGCAGTGCCATCCCCGTCAGACGACCTGCCGGCGGGACTGGAACGAGACCTTTCTTACGTTTCGATGTCTATCAGAACCTTCCTTAGAGCTTCTGACTGTATCTTTTCTTTTGGACCTAAGCAAAAAATCTAAATGTGTTTCATTTCTCAGCCAACGTACGGCAGTGCCACCCCCGTCAGACGACCTTTCAAAACAGTCAATGGCTGATGAATATTCTGCTAGCTGTTTGAATACGTAGGATGACGTTATCCACACATGTATTTAGCTTTGTTAGATCTTTAGTCGTAGAAGACCATACAAAAATCCCTGTCCTTTTTGTTGTTTCAATAAAGAATCCTGTATACCTGACTGTTGAACCTCTAAAACGGTTGTTTCATTCCCCAGCCAACGTGAAGCAGTGCCACCCCCGGCAGACGACCTGCCGGCGGAACTGGAACGAGACGCGCGCGGTGTCGGACCCGGTGTGCCTGGAGCCCGCCCAGATGTGCGACGGCAAACCAGACTGTCCGCTGGCTGAAGACGAGCAAAACTGCTGTGAGTACACCGAAATTTCAAAGGTGTTGCTCAGAAGAAAAGCTTGTGTTTGGGAGGAAGTTCCATAATTCTGCAGTCTGGGGAAAGAACGTGTTGCTGTAGAAGAACTTTGAAACAGGAATTAAGACAATGTGAACAGGAAGAGAACCTAGTGACCTTAAGTTGAATACATTAGAGACTGCTCAGATCTTAGGTTTGCAACGCTGCATTATTTTTTTCTTAATTAGCAAATGTGGTCTCTTCGCAGATTGTGAACCCCAAGGCCTGGATTCCTCCCTGGCTCGTCCGGAGAACGCAGGGATGCTCGAGTCGTCACTAGAACCCACTTGTGAAGGTAAGAATATCAGCAAATCGCCCTGCCTTAGTGTGTCATTGACATACCCTGAAACAGTCACATGAACTTGAGCCTTTGTGAGCTATGGTTTACAGCCCTGTGTATTTAACTAACATGACTTTGAACTGTAACCTGACGACCCCTGCAGGTTGCCAGTCCATCACCCTGCCCTGTGTATCATTGACATGACCTTGAACTGTGACCTTACCTCTAACCTCCCCCAAGGTAGCCAGACCTGACCTTTAAACTTGCCCCCACCCTGTCCTTGTGTGTTGAACTGGCATGACCTTGAACCGTGACCTGACCTTTAAACTTGCCCCCGCTTTGACTTGACCTGACCTGACCTGACCTATAACCTTACCCCCTGCAGGTTGCCAGCCCATCACCCTGCCCCTGTGCCTGGACATGCCATGGAAGGCGACCCGCTTCCCCAACATGCTGGGCCACCCGGGCCAGCTCACCATCCAGGCTGACAGGGACACCGGGGCCATGCTGACTATGCTGACCAACAGGTAAGCTGTTAGGATACCAGAATCCTGGCTAAAAAAAGAATTAGAGAAGCTGTGGTACATGTATTATCATGAAAGTTCATCTGTGTTGGTAGTAATCATAGTAAAACGTTAAAGCTGTGGTATTGTTTGAATCATCCGAATTCAATGAATTTGAATACAGACTAGACTGACCCAGTGAGGCGTGTCACGTGGCTTCTTTGAAGTGTGACGTCAACACTGGGTCAAAGATATCTGGTAGTCGATGTCGGCCCCCGTCGCAGTTCAGTGAAGGGTGATGGGCTCTGATTATCTATTTTTGTACCTAACTTATCTATTTGTCAATTCAGCAACTGCCATGAGCACATCCACTTTGCGGTGTGCTCTGCCGTGACGCCGAAGTGCGAGGGAGGCGGCCGCCTGGCGCCGTGCAGGAAGTTCTGCAAAGAGATCCAGGTTAGTACCGAAAACATTTATTCAAGACAAATATTTGTATGGGAACACATTTGGTTTGAAATTACTGTTTATAGGTTTATGGCATTCTTAATTGCAAACCCATGCCCGAAGACTAATATGTTTGGTCTACAGGTCTATCTGGTGTTCCTACATGCACCAGATATATTTATAGCACAGACTTACAAGATATTTTAAAGGGTGGACACAAAACTATATCAATGTACTTCAACAAAAAGGCGAGTTATATTGGTATGGGAACATTCAAATCTGAAATATACTACGTGATATAGCACTCTTCTTTTGAAGTAATGTTCATAATGAAATAAATTTTTAAAGCTAGCTAAGAGTGTTGCTTGGTTTACAGTACATTGTAAAGGCCACTAAAACTTAACGTAACAAACTAACTTGCATTGATGTGCTTTAACAGGGCAGCTGTGAGCACGCCCTGACCAGTCTGGGTGAGACCTGGCCGTTCGACTGTGACGGCATGCCTCGGCCCGAGGAGGCGCCCTGCATCACTCCGGATAAACTTGTCGGTAAGTCAGATCTCCAAGGGCAGGGAGCACTGGAAATGGGTTAATAAAGGGTTAATGCCCCACCCGGAGGTGTACATGGTGAGATAATCCATGGTCAGGTGCCATAACCACCGACTAAACCACCGAGTGAGCGTGGCGAAAGATTCTAATAACCGACCACTTTTTTTCATTATTCACCTCTTATGTTCTTTCTGCCTGATAACCGATTGGAAATGGTGACTTCTCATTGGTCGACGTCGCCCGGCTATATCATAATTCATCTCACACAAGGCTAGCATTGCGCCAAGTGTTACACAATAATGTAGCAGGTGGTCTGTTTACAATTAGTTCATAATTTGTCACAATTTTGATACATGGGTTGTGCTCTTACCTTATCATGTCACTACAATGGAAAACATTTTCTTACTTAATGATTGCCATGTACAAGCATGTATCACGGGAAATGTATTCTATATGTTTCTATTGATGGCAATTGGTGGATTAAATTCCATCTATATTTGCAGATGTTGACGAGTGTGCCACTGATCAGTACATGTGTGACCGAAAAGCCCGATGCAGAAACCTGTTCGGCTCCTACACGTGTGACTGTAAACCTGGCTACCAGAGCACTGCGGTCAACGGAACAGGGTTTCCCGGGGAGTGTGAAGGTAAAATATAAAGATTTTCATTGTTTCATATACTTTGTGTTTCGTTTCATATACTTTGTGTTACGTTACGTTGCCAACGGATATTTAATACTCTAAGGTTTTTACCGTTTAATATGGGGAAATAGACACAGATCGCATGTACATTATCAAACGTACGGACACCCACGAACGTTTGCGAGTCCTGAATTTCTGTTTTGTTTTGGTTGATCATTTGCCAAAAAGATGCAAATGGATATAAGGGAGCCTTATTGGGATTATAAAAATGTAACTGCATATGAAGTCTCTAGTGTTCTTTATGTACAAGCATTCTGAATCGCAGAACAACAATTTCCCATTTTACATCATAAGATTCCTGTACCTATCTTATTGAAGTAACAGCGAGTGTCATCTTGCCTATTATTTATGTACTAACAGAAGAACAACAATTTCCCATTTTACATCATAGTTTAATAGGATCCTTGTACCTACTAGTATCTTATAGAAGCTCCGTCGATTGCCATGTGCCTGTTTTCCATGTACTAACACAGCATGCTTTTCCCATCTAGACATAAATGAATGTAACGCCACGCAGCCGGCTTGTGGCCCCCACACGGAGTGCCATAACCTTCCGGGCGGCTTCAGGTGCAGATGTGACCGGGGGTACGAGAAAATCAACGCCACCCACTGCACAGGTGACTGCACAATCCTTGCAATATCTGCTATGAGAACAAATGCTATAACAGCAGCATCATTTATATTAGTATTTAACATTTACCACTCCTTAGCCCATATATCTAAGAGCTTTCGCTGTTACTGACTTATAAGATGAAGGTACCCAATTTATACTATAGCCACACTGCTTCCCAGAAAGACAAATAAAATCAGGTCTGTGGTCAGGTTATCACTATAGATTCTTAATGTTTGTTTCAATAGGGAAATTATCTGAGGGGCTAACAAGCGGTCTGATTGGCCAGGTGGTCTTTACGTAGCGATAGTCACTTGTGCAGCCTTGACTGTACTTATTATAGTTTTATGCATGTTATGCATGTTTTGATCACCACCTCATGTTGTATTTCATGACAGATATTGATGAGTGTGTCAGTGGCCTCAGTGGCTGCTCGGATTTCTGTAATAAAACTAACCTATTCCATGTTTTCCTAAGAACAGTTCTATAGTACAATGATTCAGGACATCTTTTGATCATCATCTCTTATTGTATTGCCTTATAGATATTGATGAGTGTGTCAGTGGCCTCAGTGGCTGCTCGGATCTCTGTAACAACACCGTCGGTTCCTTCTTCTGCCGATGTCCGCGATTCTTTGAGCTGGACCCACGCAACAACAGAACATGCAAAGGTAGGGGGGATTCATAGTTCTACATGGTAGAGTAAAGTTGTGGACTATGGAAGCCCCAGTTCTGCATGTTACTGAAGAAGCATCAATGTGTTATCCACGAAAAAGATTACCACTACTCATTTATTGAAGCAACATTTATTGTACATATAATTCCACGCTGATTTTAAAAGAAATGGATTTTTTCGATTCTTAAATTCTAAAAGTCATACAAGTTTACTCAAAAGGCTAAGGGTCAATGGGGCCAACGGAGGGACCTAGACACAGAACATCATGGAGAGAGAGAGAGAGAGAAAGAAAGAGAGAGGTCCCCACCTCATGATGCCTATGGATGATTGATTGATTGATTGATTGATTGATTGATTGATTGATTGATTGATTGAAATATACCCAATTCTTACTATTTACATTCTGATATAGCCTCCATGCTTCAGCTCCTGATGCCTGTGGATGATTGATTGATTGATTGATAAATCGATTGATTGATTGATTGATTGATTGAGAGCCTAAAAATTAATACTCAATTTTTACTATTGTTTCTATACAGCTGCCCTGTCCTGTTCGTCCTCGAACCCCTGTTCGCCCAGTGACGTGGCGACTTGCGCAGTGACTGATGACGGTTATCTTTGCGGCTGCCAGGCGGGGTACCAACTGGCACCGGGCAGCGATACACTCTGCATCAGTACGTACACTTCACCCATTGAAAATTATTCAATGATAGCTCCGTATATCGAACTGAACATAGAAAAAAGTAATGTAGGGTCCTGGAGATTTTAGGTTTAAAATGCACGATCATGCGATTGTGTACTTTAGCTTCTTGGAAGTCATTTAAAGGTAGCTTCGGATATAGTACGGAGCATAAATATCGACAAAAGTTCATGGATATTTTAGGTTTAATAATGCACAATCATGGTAGCGTGAAATATACTGTTTGACACTACAAGTACACTTATAAACATGAGGCATGTATACAGACCAACCCAATCCGTTTTCTCATTACAAAATATCAATGTCCAGACAACAATAATGACCGTAATTTCGAATAATCGAAAGCTCTTGGTGAGAATATATCTTTGTGTTGAAACAAAAGTTTCACTTTTAAACAAATGGCCATAACTTAATAAACCTAGGAGACGATGAAGCGTCCCCAATACTTAAAGATGTATTCCTTCCTATTACACTATAATTTACAGACACGAATGAGTGCAGGAGAGGTAACAACAACTGTGACCGTCAGCTGGCCGTCTGTACGGACACACGGGGCAGCTTCACCTGCTCCTGCAAACCCGGGTACTCCGGGGCCGGCACGGTCGGCGAGTGCGAAGGTGGGGTTATTAGTGCAGCTTTTCACAACCGCTGGAAGAATAAAAGAGTATGATCGAAATATGTAGGAAAATGTCAGGGTAAAGACCCCAATCTGATAGAATCAGTGATTCTACAGGCAGAGATCCTGAATAGAGTCTGTAAATTTGGAGAACTAGGAGGCAAGTCAGAACTTCTTGACTTTGATTCGTGTCACTTCAGATCAATAGCCTGGGTTCCATCCTGGTTAGTTGACGTCCGCTCCCACAGTCGCTACCACCAACATAGCGACTGTGGGAGCGGAGTAAACTAACCAGGATGGAACCTAGGCTATTAGATCAATGGATGACTTTCAATTCAATACTTGTAAATGGAAAACCATCCTAGCAAACAGCATCGAAGTCTCTGTTGACAAAGCCACTACCAGATAGGATTCACTTCCTTGTCATCTATACATAAGGTTTAGAACATTCACACTTCTTGTTTTACAGGCAATCAGCGCTTAATTATGTCGTTGCAATCATTCGTGTAATTTCCTTTTTCTCATGTAGCCTTACTTTATCTCCTATTATTTATTATATCTATTCCCAGATATTGACGAGTGCACCACTGGAGATTACCTGTGTGACGACCGCGCGGACTGTGTGAATGAGATCGGCTCCTACACGTGCGTGTGCCGGACTGGGTACCGCAGTGTGTCCCGCAGGGGAACGGGCTTTCCCGGGGAGTGCAAAGGTGTGAGAACTCTGTTTGTTTGTTTGTTTGTTTGTTTGTTTGTTTGTTGTGGCTGTGTGAATGAGATCGGTTCCTACACTTGCCAGTGTCGGACTGGGTACCGCAGTGTGTCCCGCAGGGGAACAGGCTTTCCCGGGGAATGCAAAGGTGTGAGAACTTTGCTTGTTTGTTTGTTTGTTTGTTTGTTTGTTTGTTGTGCAAAGACAGGAGAACCTACTTTGTTTTCCTGTGTGTTGTAACACATTGTGGGTACACCAGTGTCTACTGTAGTACATTATGTATAACACTATTGGTTGAATGTGTCCAAAGTAATGATGAAAAGATCTTACCATGTAAACATTTGAAACTGCATGCCCGGACGCCAATTGCAGGATCACACTCGCACTCTATGAAGTGAAAAGAGTGTAAAACAATGTCTTTTCAATAGCTGTTCATGTGGGCTTTCAGCTAATATGAAGGTAGTGAATTATCAGGCTTTGTAAATGTTACATGCCAGACAATGGAGAATGCTCGCCCTAACGATCTGCCTTGTCTATTTCCCCACAGAGCAGCGACTGTTCCCGTACGGTGCCGACTCGGGTCACACGCGGCTCGCGGCCCCGGCTGGGAGGGACGCCGTCTCCCCTCTCATCCCGGTTCCCAACGGCCTTCCCACCAGGGGCGGACAGCTCGCCAACTCTATATACGTACGTAGAATACTCGTGTTTTTGGTTATATCGGGTTGATGTTAATCTGGCTAGTAGTCTGGATACCACACTGTTAACTGGCGAGCTCCTCGGCTCCAGGGTCAAATGTTAAAGTTAGACCATGTGTAGGCCCTGACAATGGACTGGCACCCAGGCTAATAAGTATGTTACTAGCGTCTTAGAATAGAAGTGTTAGTGGCAACATTATATAATCAAACATTGTGAATATTACAATTAAGAGCTGTTGATACAGACCATACTAAACTCTACAAAGTCCAGATTATTTCTCTCTGATCCAAAAAGCAGACCTTGTGTCTTTTATTCAATTATGATTTTTTTAGATTTATTGGTTTACCATGATATGTGCGTATCGCGCTGTAGCACTTTTGCTTCTTTGATAATAGGGTAGTGAGAGTTTCAATGTATCGTACTTATCTAGGTTTTAGAGGATGGCGTAATCGTGGCCACTAGCCTGACATCTCGCCGTGACCGAGCAGCAAAAAAGATCTACCGCCACCCGACCACCGCAACAGAAGCGTTCGACGGGCCGCTTCTGGCCGTCTTCGCGCCGTTCTGGGCTGATAGCGTCACGGGACCAGGGTACCCTTCTAGGGTAGGTTGTTAGTAATGTGTATATGTATCTGTATAGCCGGTATAACAACTCTTCGGCGTAACACATCGGCTTCTGTATCTGTATATCCAGTATAACTGCTTTTCAGCATAACACACCGGCTTCTGTATCAGTATAGCCGGTATAACCACCCTTCGGCGTAACACACCAGCTTCGCAGGCACGCGATTCGGCGGCAGCTGGCTACACTATTACACCTAACCCTTGAACATCTAAACTGTGTTTTAAGCTATCTAATGATAATGCCCCTACTGTTCTTGGTGAAAGCGAGTTCCATTCTACAATAGTTCTTGAACACCTCAATCCTTGGTTTATAACTCTGGTACTTGAAGTCATGGACATTTCTTGTTCTCTTCTGGGCTGGTATTATTCTGGGTTGGAGTTGAATGCATTGTCAAATCGTTTGTTTGAACCTTTGTTTATGTATAAGAAGCTCAAATTTAGCCTGCTGGCTTTTGATTGGTAAGGGTTAGACTCTAGGTAAGGGTTAGATTCTAGGTAAGGGTTAGACTCTAGGTAAGGGTTAGATTCTAGGTAAGGGTTAGACTCTAGGTAAGGGTTAGATTCTAGGTAAGGGTTAGACTCTAGGTAAGGGTTAGATTCTAGGTAAGGGTTAGATTCTTGCTAAATGATTATTCTTTCACACATTTTAGGTCTGGTACTTCCCCTACACACCCGGCACTCCCAACTACGACGAGGTGTTCAGCGTGGCATCAGAAAACGTGCAGAAGCACTTCGGCGTGGCGAACTTTGACCCCACGTTTGTTCTGGTCGTCACCTGGGAGAACATGGCGATGGCAGGAGACGTGGCGAGGGAGAACATTAAGGTGGTTACAATCAGTAATTTTTTTTTAAATGTTCAATAAATTAGAACATTTGCAAAGTAAATTATGTTTACCTTCACATTCCTGTATATGGTGTCCATGCAGTCCCCTTGAACTCAGTTCTTCATGGCACTGCATTATGCAACCAGTTACCATGGTGAAAGGCGCCTGGTCCTGGTTATTTGTTTGGAACAGAAGGAGAAGAGGAGGAAGAAACTGAGCAAAAACATCTTAGCTACAACTACAATAACCTTCAACCTTGTATAGGATTCAGTATTTGTATTGCATTTTTTTACTAACATACCTAACATTCTAATATCTCTTCACTGCAAGCAATTGGATGGAATGGAAATCTCTAATGTCCAGGTACCAATTTACTAAACTTGATTATTGACGATTGCTAAATAATTTGTTCGTTGATCTTGTTTACTAGTATTCTTCTACATGCATGTAACAAAAACTAAATCATCATGACCGAATCCATTCTACATCCCTGCATTTTACACTGACCAACAGTTAACACTTTCCAATCTGCTTTGATGGTCTTTAACGAGTTTACATACATTTGTTTGATATATTCCATGCTAATTTCGAAGATTCAAACGTCTCTCCCAGACGAACACGTTCCAAGCGGCGCTGGTGACTGATAACGTTCACACGTACATGGCGTCGTACTACGCTGACGGCGGAATGAGGTGGGACCCGCAGATCACCCCTGGCAACCTGGTGGGCGGGATGTGGCCCGCCTTCGTGGGGATGGTCATCAAACACCCGTGGGAGGGGGTACAGGTGGAGGAGGACGAAAACTCCAGGTGAGAAATAGCTTTGTGTGTGTGTGTGTGAGAGAGAGAGAGAGAGAGAGAGAGAGAGAGATTTTGTGTGTGCGCGTGTGTGTGTGTGAGAGAGAGAGATTGTGTATGTGTGTGTGTGTGTGTGTGTGAGAGAGACAGAGAGAGACAGAGAGAGAGACAGAGAGAGAGAGAGATTGTGTGTGTGTGTGTGTGTGTGTGTGTGAGATTGTGTGTGAGAGAGAGAGAGATTGTGTGTGTGTGTGTGTGTGTGAGAGAGAGAGAGAGAGACAGAGAGAGAGTGTGTGTGTGTGTGTGTGTGTGTGTGTGTGTGTGTGTGTGTGTGTGTGTGTGTGTGCATGGTTTCAGCACCAGGGACAGCCCTGCCTACATTTATGTGGCTGGTGCGAAAGGTATGAGACTAAACTATGTAAATGTGATAATTAATATACACTTCTTCTACCATCAATGAAGGATGAAGACGAGGTTTGTGAACGGAACCAAAGACTGCACGGGCTCTAACGTGTACTGTATGGATGAGAAAGTCTCTCCCACCACGAATCGTACCGGCATCATAGCGGTACAAGTGGACGACAATCCCACAGACTGGGTCAACCCTAGACTCTGGTGCGCGGACTGGTACAAGGTTAGTATCATTATAAGAGGCCAGCATTTTATACCGTACTCTGTGTATCAAAAGTATGGTTACTGTAGCTTTCATTGCTTAAACAATTTTGAACCACATGTATAATGATTTTTGTCCATCGCCATAACTCGAAGCCCCTTTAATCTAACACACAAATTGTAGACAAAACGACACGACAGAGCCAAACTGTGCCTGAGTCCAGGCCCTAAGCAATTCTGGTATAGGAATAGATAAGCACCGTTCCGGATATGATAGAGACTACCTCGAAATGTACCTGATCGTAACCATAACCCATCTAGGCGTAAATGTAGTTGAGCATGGTTATCGATACGATACAGGCTATACAGGACCTATTCCTAACCCATTCTAGCATAGAGCTAACTAAACAGACACGTTTTTTTGTTCTGGATATGATAATTCTTTTTCTTTGTCTTCCAGAGAGAGCCCGACCCGTTCCTGTACTCCAGTCCGCTCTCCTGTCCGCTGACCAGCATCCACGCAGGTCTGGACCTCAGGTGGAAGGTGGTGACCGGCCTCGACCCCAGAAGGACCTGCTACGAGCAGAGAGACAACTCCGGATTCTCAGACGGTACAAAACAACTGTTCTCATTTTCTAACAGATTGCAACGCCTAACGCACATCATGTCATACGCCGTTTACGTTCATATTCCTGCAGTAATGCTACTAGTCTCTTAGAATAGACTTGATTGTATTGATCACATTGTTATTGATGCCATACATTGTACCATGTACAACTGTCGAGCAATAAAGTTCATTCATTCATTCATATAAACACACACACGCACGCACACACACACATAGTCTCTTAGAATAGACTTAATTGTATTGATCACATTGTTACTGATGTCATATATTGTACCATGTACAACTGTCGAGCACTAAAGTTCATTCATTCATTAATTCATTTAAACCTTAGGAAAATCCTAACATGTAAGCTTTAAACCTAGTATAGGCTAGGGACATATGGCGGTTGTTAGCACGGAAAGAAATAGAAAACAAAAATATATGAAAACAAACATATATTTTCTCGTTGGCCATCGGTAAATTTCATATTTCTTTGTGAATGGTATTATAGCATTTGGTCTCCATCATTCATTTTTTGCAAATGCATTAGAAAATATTTTCCAATCTCAATGGCAAGAACAAGTACCCCCACAATCGTTTAGTTAGTACTGAATACTGTACTCAATGTTATGTTTCAGGTGGAAACAACTTGTGCTGCTACCGTCGGTCTGGAGCCTTCCTCTGGCGGAACCGCGCTCTTTCTGGGAACCTGCACAGATATGCACGGGTAGAGCATTGCTCTTTTTCTTAACCCACGTGCGTGGGGTGGCCAATGGTTACATGAGGCCAATGTTCTTTTTCTAAGTTCAGCTTGAATCCTAGCTTTACCAGTACTTCCATTCCCATACTTGAGGGCCAAATAGAGACTCTTCACCAACCTCCTCCACTGAGCGTTTTTGTTGAACAGTTTTTTTTAAGTGTGAATTTGACCAGCCGTTCTTTTCTTAGTTAAGGCTTTTCCAACCGTTTTGTCTCTAAACCCAGGGTCACCCTTTTCAATTTCATTGCGTTTCAATGTATAGCTATGGTAGCAACTTATAGACACAAAGACAGTGAATACTTGCAGAAAAAAATCGATTCCTAGCAATATGCCTAGACATACCATAGTTGCAGCATTCAGTATAAACACTTAACACTGCTTCCTTTTCACATCCCCACAGGACACACAGGAGTACCAGGATCATGACATCCTCCCCTGGACCTACTGTTGCCAGGATACGGGCACCGCCTACTGCAGTCTGTACTTCAGCAAGCGGCCCATGCAGACCAACGTCGGCTACGAACCGCCAAGGCAGAGTAAGGTTTTCTTGTACCCAGAAACATGCTTAGGCACAGTTCTGGATAGTCCACACATATTCAGAACTGTGCCTGGAGCAAATACACGTTCTCGGTCACGCGGAGACTATCCAGAACCATATATGTGGGGCAAATCTACGTTCTGGGACATTCGAGAATATCCAGAACCGTCCCTGATCCTAACCCATTCAGACATACATGTAGACCTAGCGATTCCTCATGTACCTGAACTAGGGGCTATTTGAAGCGTTTCAATTCATGCCAAAATCGCAAACAACTCTGTATCTTGTTATCTAGGTCAAGAAATACATAATGCTATACAAAAGAGAAACCGTATCATAGCAATGTGAAATGTATTTCATCATGTATATGTACATGTATTGAACGATAAGTTAGATTTGTACGCTAGTAGAAATAGTTTATAGTTATTAAGTCTCATTTGACATGCATTGTATCCGATGCAATTGTTGCTCAATAAACTTTGACTATCACCTTTTTACCTGCCCAGGTGCCGGAGCAGGTGACCCTCACCTGACGACGTTGGACGGCCTGTCCTACTCCTTTAACGGTTACGGGGAGTACCTCATGGCTAACAGTACCAGCAGCGCCCCTCGCGGATTCCTCATGCAAGGCAGGACGGACATGGCTGAGGTGGAGGAGGGCAAAACACCACAGGCTACGGTTTTCACGTAAGGCAACAGGAAATGAATTTTATCAATGTCAGAATCAAAATATTACGCAAGAGGTTTTAAAAAAAAAAGAAGATGGAGATCTTTATAAACCAAACACAAAAGGGTACAGATGCATACATTTTAAAAATAGAAACCATGTACGTTGCAATAGCGGAGGTGGAGGAAGGGAAAACACCACAGGCTACAGTTTTCACGTAAGGCGACAACATGCAATTTTATGGAAGACATCTTACGGAAATTCTAAGCAAAAACTCTACGCAAGGGCACGAAAGAAAACAAAATAGGCAACTATAAGAAGATGCACAAATTTTTAAAATAGAGACCATACATGACCAAGAATTGAAGCGACCAAACATAGCATCGCAGCCAAAGTCTTTTATTCCTGTTATCAAGAATTGCAGCAACTAACTCCGATATGGAAGCCTGCAGCACTTGTGTCACAACTGCACTCAAGGCAACGGCACGACATATTTACGATACACTAGGTCTTAAGTAATTTCAAGTGTGTGTTTTTTCAGTGGTAGTCTTGTATCACTACAACCACACTTAATGCTACGCATATACTGGTGTCACTTCCACAACTACATTCAAGGCACCCGCACTAGTATCATTTCTACAACTGCACCCAAGGCAACTACACGACAACTACGCCCAAATATTAGCTTTTAAGTAATTCCCATTGTTGTTTCTCCCAGCGGCATTGCTGTCCAGCAGGGTAGCGCCAGTGTACAGCTATACCTGGACAGCACAGGCTCCAGTCTGGACGTGTACGTGGACAGCACACAGGTTGCGCTGTCTGACATCGCCAGCGGAAGCAGCAGCACGTTCAGCGATGGGGAGTTTCAGCTCATCACAGGTGCGCCCCCTGTACTTTCCTGTTGGTACTGCAGGCTGGTGGTGCTTGTATCCAGTGACATGTTACTCTAGTCCTTTATATCAACCATGGCTTCATGGCGCCCCCTGTACTTGCCTATTGGTACTGCAGGCTGATGATGCTGTACTGCATTTAGCGATATCACTTTCCTTCAATTTTACCACGAGTCTATCTTCAAGTTCATTAAGATAATCATGAGAGAGAGAGAGAGAGAGAGATGGAAAACCAGAGAAAAGGGGAGAGAGAAATGGAGTGGTGAGAGAAGGAAAGAGAAATAGTTTAGTGAAAAGCCTTCAACGAAATAGATATTAAACATGTAACATCCTGCAAAAACGTGTTCTTAAGCAATCTTTAAACATATCTTTAAGCATATCTTTCAAGATCTCTAGATGGTAGGACAATTACAAGTACAAGTAAGTATCTTTTAAAAAACTTCTTTTTTTTTCTCAGATTCTTCCAGCGGCACCGTGACCGGCGTGAAGGTCATATTTACATCCGGGATCTCGGTGCAGGTCGACGCCGGCCTCAGCATGCTCACCTACGCAGTCTCCATGACCCCTGACATGAAGGGTCACGTGCGGGGCATGCTGGGTAACTTCAACGACGACAAGGACGACGAATTCTATTGGCCGAACGGAACGGCGGTTGCCATTAGCAACCTGACGAACACGGCAGAGGCGGAAACTTTTCCATGGGGACAGAGTTGTAAGAAGCTTTCGTTCATTTCTGCATTTGTTTACTTTTATAACATTTGTTCCAACAATTACTACTATAATTTAGATCGGAATGCTTTTTGGTAGGATTAACTTAGTAGAAATTATATCATTTTCTAATGGTTAGTGGGGATAGCATTTAGCACTTTGTAGACTGGGAAACTTTTTTGTGTGGCTTGTATCAATAGATATGAAGCTTTTTGTGACTTTGAGTCGAATATCTTTTAAAAAATCGGAATTCCTTCTTTCTAGCTAGGTGTAACTAGTCATATCACCAAGCATGTGATAGATAATATTCAGCACGACTACGAACTTGTATATACGAATTTCAGTGAAGTATCACGTTGTCTTCCCATTTATCCAGGGGCACTTCCGAACTATGCTGCTGACGAGCTGGGCTCAGACCCGTCCACAATTTCGCTGTTCAGTGTTTACCCCGGTGGCGGGAACGCTACGACATACGGGAACTTGACCTTCCAACCTTTGTTCTTTGACCTGGACACCATGTTTGCCACAGAAGCGGACAAGCTGAGGGCTATTGAGGTAAAAGAGATTTATTTCAAGACATTTACAAGACTGGCATTTGCTTTATTCGTCATCCTCATCGGTCGACCGTATTGATCGTAAATGATGGATATTTGTTGGATGGATTTTTGTTAGATTCCGATAATTTGTGAACCTGTTTTTCTCACCAATTGTATTTCACTTGTCCATTATCATGTCCAAAGATGTTTTAAACAGATCAAATTATGCTGAAACTAGTCTTGCCTTGTCTCGTTTTGTTTGTTTCTGATCATTGTTATATCCACGAAATTCTATATCGGAAGATACTTGTATTCTAGTTGCGTACATAGAACTTCGTTGAAGGGACTTCTCTTTGAAACAGGTTGTGGAGAAAAACTTTGATTGATTGATTGGTCGATTGATTTATTTATTGATTGATTGATTGATTAATTGATTGATCGATTGGCAGGTTTGCGGTAGCGCCACTGCAAAGGAATGTCTGTTCGACATCGCTCTGACTGGAAACGAGGCCGTGGGAGCTGCCGCGGCTGCTGCCTTGGAGGCGGTTGCCAGTAGCAACGCTGCTCTGGGTACGTTTCTATAAACACACGCATATAAAGCCACGACAGTATACTAGACTGAGTTATATGAGGTCTGCAACACCATACACAACCAAGCCACCATTGTGAGAATAATGTGCTGCTAACAAATTGCTATCTGATGTCTTAATCTGATACTTGATCAAACGTTCATCTTTGCATTATTCACTCAAACACAAACCGATTTAAAAATACCCTTAGTTGTTACTAGGCTGTACGTTTTAAGACAACCTTCTGCTGCATTAAGAACCGTGTCTATGATATAAGTCTAAATGGGTTGTTAGGATCAGGCAATGTACTGCATAGAACGTAGATTTTCTCCAGGCACTGTCCTGGAAATACATTGACTATAGAACCGTGGCTGAACATGGATCTGTATGAAGCACGATTCTGGATACTACAACCCTCAATTGTTTCTAGACTATGGATTCTAAGACAACCCACATTCCCATACAGATAACACGCCGCCCGTGTTTAACGTAACGTCCGAGGTTCGCGCGACGGTCGGGCAGGAGTTCGGCCTACAGCTGGAGGCTACGGACGACGGGACCGTCACCATCTCACTACAGGCCGGGACGCCGGGTAGTGTCAACGCCACTAACTACTACACGTCAGTAAAAAAGCATCGTAAACTTACTACTAACACTAGCACAACACTTATGTTCTGTGTGCTGTAATTTTAATACGCTCGCTACAGGACTTGGATCAAGTTTCAATGCCAATAACTGCTGCACAATGAATCAATGTGAGTAAAAACACTTAAAGGTAACACAGAATGATGAAAGACTCACACTACCGGACCTGATCTTCAAGAAGGAAAACTATGTTGTGTCCATGATGGGTTGCCGACCGAGACTACTAGCCAATATTATCATAAAGCCACAGATGTCATGATAAATACAGTTACCAGAAAATGTGAAAAAATGCAAGATATGTAATTAACTTTGGAGCCAAGATATACGATGTGGCTCATCAGGAATCTCTCTCTGTTTTTCTACCGACCAGTTGGACTCCTACCGACACCGCAAACGTCACTATCGAGTTCCTGGCCACTGATGACGTCGGCGCCGCCACCCTCGCTTCTCCTGACGTCACCGTATGCTCCTGCCAGAACAACGGTACGATTGTTTATTTGTTTGTTTAGAGTTAAAACTTTAGATCCAACACAGAGAAGTTCTCTCCCCTAGAGCTTTCGATCAGTCACTCTGGTCTTCCCCAGTAGACTGACCCAGTGAGGCTTGTCACGTGGCTTCTTTGAAGTGTGACGTCAACACTGGGTCAAAGATATCTGATAGATAATGTCGGCCCCCGTCGCAGTTGCGTGAACGGCGATGGGCCTTAAGACTTCAGCAGCAATATAGTAATATATTTGATAGTTTATACATATGAAGTTTTATCTGTATTTATGTTTCTGAGTTGTTATAACCCGTTTCTTCAGGTACGTGTAACTGGGAGGCGACTCTCGCTGAGCGGAGTAACGGGTTCGCCCTGGCCTCCTGCGACTGTCTGCTCGGGTTCGACGGGGACGAATGTGAGACCGACACCGACGGATGCTCGGTCACACCCTGCTACCCTGGTACGTAGGAGTGAAAGAAGGAAAGAAAGAGAAAGAAAGAAAGAAAGAAAGAAAGAAAGAAAGAAAGAAAGAAAGAAAAAAAGAAAGAAAGAAAGAAAGAAAGAAAGAAAGAAAAAAAAGAACGTGTAAGGGGTTAGCCCTGGTGTCCTGCGACTGTCTGCTTGAGTTCTGGTGGGTAGGAGTGAGGGAATGAATGAATGAATGAATGAATGAATGAATGAATGAATGAATGAATGAATGAATGAATGAATGAATGAATGAATGGTTGGATGGATGGATTGATGATAGATAGATGGATTTATTGATGGATATATGGATTGATGGATTGAATAAATGAATGAATGAAATTATCATCATGCAAATTATGTTCGTCTGACTCGAGCTTGATAAGCGGATCATACGTATGGTCATACTCTGACTCTGGTTACCAGTGAACGAATGATTCGCGTAATTGATAGATTACCATCTTGTCTCATTTTTCTTTTACCCACTTTGTAATTATGTATGTATTTTGTCATTGTGTTTTACTCTCGTTTTATCATTTGAGTAGGAAGCGTCATATAAGCAACTATGCTTCTTGCCTAATATTCAATAAATATATGTGAAAAAAATAAATAAATGTTTTCCCCAGGTGTGAGTTGTACAGACGCCCCCGCTCCTCTCAACGCGGATTCTGCCGGCTACACGTGCGGGGCCTGTCCTGCCGGTATGGTCGGGGACGGGCAGTCCTGTGCCGATCTGAACGAGTGTCTACCCCAACTGATCAATAAAATACTATGTTTTATTTCTAGGTGTGAGTTGTACGGACGCCCCCGCCCCTCTCGACGCCGACTCCGCCGGCTACACGTGCGGGGCCTGTCCTGCCGGTATGGTCGGGGACGGACAGTCCTGTGCGGATCTGAACGAGTGCCTCCTCTTACCGAACGAGACAGACGCGCACCAGTGTCAGAACGCCACGTGTAACAACGAGGCACCTGGCTACAGCTGCGAGTGCTTGGCAGGGTACACCATGCTGGCAGACAACAGAACATGCCTTGGTACGTTTATTTCTATATACTAGTAGTACAGGTATGTTCATTTCTGATGTAACAGAAATGTAACAGTGTTAAAAGAATGCTAGCTGTAACAACGAAGCTCCTGGCTACAGCTGCGAGTGCCTGGCAGGGTACAGCATGCTGGCAGACAACAGAACATGCCTTGGTAGGTTCATTTCTATATACTAGTAGTACAGGTATGTTCATTTCTGATGTAACAGAAATGTAACAGTGTTAAAGAACTCTACATGTAACAACGAGGCACCTGGCTACAGCTGCGAGTGCTTGGCAGGGTACACCATGCTGGCAGACAACAGAACATGCCTAGGTAGGTTTATTTCCATAACTATGTTTGAATGTTGGTAGAAAACGCACGATAAGTGTCGTGTGTCGAGTGTGGTTACATTACAATCTTTTTTCTCAGTCTTAGCGTTCCATTTTGTCAACTGCAAAGGCATGGCCATTTAAGGGATATGAGAGCATTATATACACCTGATCCGGGTGAATTGGTACCCATTCCCAGGGTAATGAGACCGTCATATGGTTGGACAGTATAGGCAGTATCAGTCATTATGGTCTTGCTACTATTTATGGTGAAAACATATCTTGCCTAAAATGTAGCTTACATATTACATAGTATCACGTACTGACGATTGATTGTTCTTTACTGAAGTGATGACACATTTTAGACCTTGGAAAGAAGACAATGACCTTTGTATTGTTGCAGATATTGACGAGTGCAGTGCAGGCACCCACAACTGCGATGCCCAGGCCACCTGTACCAACATCGAGGGTTCCTTCAACTGCACCTGTAACACTGGGTACGCAGGTGATGGGAACACCTGCACAGGTAAGAACACGTCATTTTTCATCTACAGTAGACCTACGTACTCACAATCAGTGAAAATAATTCTACTACTATTACTATGCTCATTTTGCTACCACAGAAGTTGTGTCCTCGACACTGGAAAACGTTACATCACCAAAGACCATCCCAGCGCATAGCAAAACACTAGTTTCTTCCTCTATATATCTGTTGCAGTAAGTTGACACAACGTAATGCATTTTGTGGCAATATGCACAACATAACTTGCAACATTTCCTCCTCAGATATTAACAAGTGTCGGACCAGTAACGGCAGCTGTGACAGTAGCAGTAAGTCGACACAATTTGATGCATAATGTGGCAATATACACAACATAACTTGCAACCTCCCCGCAGATATTGACGAGTGCCAGACCAGTAACGGAGGCTGTGACCGGATCTGTCTGAACGTGGAGGGAAGCTATCAGTGTGCCTGTGACTCGGGCTTCAGACTCGCGGACGACATGCACTCCTGCGAAGGTAAACTTTTGATGATGAACAGACAGACCAAAAACACTGGCAAGAAAGCACAAAATAGCCCACAGCCACACATGCACTCTAAGAAGATCACATCTGTAAAGAAAATACTAAGTACATAATGTTTACCTTCACGTTATCTAGCCCAAACAAAGTTAGAAACATTCATGGTGACCAGCCCCTCCAACTCTGACCTACCACTTGCTACATAATGTAATCCAACACCACATCGTGTCTGCTTCAGCACCAGTTTGAAACAAAAGAAAAGGAGGAACAAAACTATGTTTCCTTCTGGAAGTTCTGTGAAGATATATTTTTGAAAAGATATATACTTCAGGACTGCTTTCCTGTAGAAGATAAATATGATGTAACAGGAAGGATTGTTTTAAATATCTCCACAATGATTTTAATTGAAACACCAAAATGTCCGATGCACATAGCAACGTATAAACTGTGTTTGTCTAACTTGCCTTGCGACCTTCTCTTAGTGCTGTATATAAAGAGATAAATGGTTGACCTAGGTTTTACCCAAGCAATCTTCCATCTTTGTATTTTCATTGTAATAAAGATGATTTTACCCGTTCCTCCCCACAGATATAGACGAGTGTTCCGGTCCGACTCACGGCTGTACTCAGTTCTGCACCAACACAGTGGGCGGGTTCGAGTGCTCCTGTAAGGAATACTACGTACTGACGTCGGACGGGAAGTCTTGCGAAGGTTTGTTTCTAATTTCATTTATCTTTTTATGCAAGATTCTTGTAGCTTATAGCAGTAAAGATTTCATATCTGTGCATTATCGCTTTGGAGGAACAAATCTACTCGAAATTTCTTATTGTTTGCAAAGGATTTTATGTTAATTTGTTAATCAGGTGGAACTATTCACAAACATTTTTAAGTTCGTATTTTGTAGCATGATAGATTACAAATAAAAACAAGTAATTCAGCTATCGAAATTACAGCATGTAAACTTCAACTATTTGCTGCACCTATTGAATATTTTTTTAAAAGCTCAATCCCACTGTTTCTCACATCCACCCATAGCTGCCCAGTTATGTGATAATGACACTGCCTGCAGTGCCCTGCACTCATCTCTGTTTGTTTGTTTGTTTGCTTGTTTGTTGTTCAGCTGCCCAGTCCTGTAGCAACGACACAGCCTGTACCCAGCTCTGTGCCGTCATTAATGTGACAGAAGTGTGTGACTGCATCAGTGGGTACACCCTGGCTCAGGACCTACAGACATGTGCAGGTAAAACAGTTCTATAAACATCTACAAGTGATTGCTATATATTCTACATTTTAATGTTCTAATGCTAAGAAGTTAATCATACTACTTTGCTATTCATACTACTTTTTAATCATTCTGATTTGCTGTAAAACTATGTTTCTACATTTCGATGTTCTAATGCTAAGAAGTTAATCATACTACCACTTAGTATATGCTTCTTTATATTGACTTTCTTCAAACTATCCACGAATTATCTAAGAATTTGTTTTAAACGTTTTGGTTAAATTATGAAATATTGTATTTCCTGACACCAATCTTTGCATAACCAGATTCTAGTCATCTGGGTTTTTTACCTCTCTGATAAGACAAGTAATCAATAGTTTGACTTAACAACTAAAATATCTTGTCTAACTATAGCCTGACTAAATCGCGCTCCTAGCGGCCAGCTCGACAGTTGCAGCCCCTCTCGGGAAGAGCATTAATTAACCCCATCTAGCGAGAGATTGTATAAACGCAGGCTTACCTGGATACACACCAATTTTTTAGTTACTAGTATTAACTTTGTTTCTCCAGATATTGACGAGTGCGCTTCCAACATGACCCACTCCTGTGACCCTGTTAACGGTGCCTGCAGCAACACTCCTGGGAGCTACAACTGCAGCTGTAAGGCTGGGTACCAACTGGAGACTAATGGGGGATCCCTCTGTGAAGGTACGTACAAACAAACAAAAGCTTGCTATTGGCTAGAAAAGGGAACCACTGTGAGCCCTATCTGAAACAAAGTACCCAACACTATTTTAGAATGTTGCCTACGGACGGCTGTAGCGATAGAAGACTATGTGATTTTTACCACATTTATATTCATTGATGTAAATCGAGTTTGGTTGATTGGTTGTCAATTTTTTTTCATCTTCTTAGCGCTTTTAAATCAACATTGTAAATGCCTACCAATTCATCCTTATTGTCTGCAAGAAGGTGTGTGAATAAAGTTTCAAAGGAGCGATAAAAGTGATGTGATGCACTTTTAGTTACAATTCGTCTGTAGCTGTATATTTCAATGGTTCCGTAACCACTGAAAGAAACTAAATGTTACATCAAACTCGGTATTATTCATGTCTCTAGATATTGACGAGTGCAGTGCATCTAACGGAGGTTGTGGACAGGTTTGCGAAAACACCCCCGGGACCTTCTCTTGTTCCTGTAACCATGGTTACACACTGGGGGCTGATGGGAAGGCTTGCAATGGTAAGTACAAAGCGCCTGCTGCCATGCTCAAATATATTTTGTGTTTTCTTTTTCTCCTATTGTAATCACAAGTAAGCTGAAGTATTTCTTCGTTAAACATATTCAGAATAGAATATTTTACGCATAATTTTTAGAATATGTGATGATAGCACCATTCAGTCTTTTAACGTCATATCTATTTAGTATGTTTTCTGTACCTTACTAGTCTGTTTCTTTTATCATAACTACCTTTTGATTGTACTTAAGTTACCTTTTATTATCTTATGTATGTCACAGGGAGCTTTGAAAAGCGCCAAAATGGCGATATGCTAACCTATATAAATAAATAAAAAATGAAAATCTCAAGACAAGAAAATCTAGGAACATTTTGTTCATCTCTGTTTTATCAATTATGCCCAGACATTGATGGAGGTAGAACTGTGATTTTTCTACATCCATGGGCCAACTATACACCTTTAGCAGACGAACTTCCCTGGCATGTTATCTGTCTATTTGGCCAATTTCTCCTCTTTCTAGTCGCTTCTGAAGCCTGGTAGAGGCTAGTCTAGAGTTATTGAACTCGTTTTCTTGTCGTTTCTTAATCTTGCTTAGATATTGATGAATGTGCGCTGAACACTGACGGCTGTGAACACACGTGTACCAACACGAATGGCTCCTACGTCTGTTCCTGTCCCGAAGGACTTAAACTGGACAACAGTGGAACCGACTGTGTCGGTAGGTAGCAGGAAAATGAAGGAATGAATGAATCACCAAAATATCTTAGTACCGACATTATTGACTCTTACATCTGCTTGTGCAAAGAGCTCAACCTTGACAAATAGTAGCACCAACTGCTTGGGTTGGGTGGGTGAGTGTGAATGAGTGTGAGTGAGTGTGAGTGTGTGAGGCAGCTAGGAAAACGCAGGAACAGGGCCATACGAGAACAAATGAGACTAAATGCAAGAAAACTCTACATTTCTGCTCCAAAGAGTTGAGCAAAGTTTGACGCAGTTGTAAAACCAAATATCAATTCACAAAGAAAGAAGTTAGGAATTTCTGAAGACAATAATCATACATGAAAACACAGGAAAAACTTTTGTATTTTACATCACCCAGCCGCTGATGCCTGTCTGAGCACCACCTGTTCCCCTGCTGACGTCAGCACCTGTGCAGTCATTTCCGGTACAGAGACCTGCATGTGCACGGCCGGATATGAACTGGGCAGCAACGCAACAACATGCAAGGGTAATGATTTTACTGCAGTCTCTACAAGACGCCAATGTGTTGAAATTTTCCAAATATCAGAATGATATGTCAGAAGAGTTAGCCGGAGATAGGACTTCAACGGAGCCTTGTAGAGACTATTTTACTCAGCATTCAGTGCTTCATGCCCCATCCTGAGGTTCATATGGTGAGCCAAGGCCTACATTGTACTTAGTCCCTATGGCCATCAAATCATCGACTGATGATAGTTGTAACATTTAGTGATCCAACAACAATTACACAGTTTTTTTATATCCCAACATCTAATCACAAGACGTGGTGACGACACACTCAACTTAAATTAATGCCGCCACCAACACACGGGACAACACAATACTCATTTTCACCTGGGCGAAGTGAGGAAAGTCGTGTAAAGTGCCTTTCCCAAGGGCACAAGATCGGTGGCATGTTAGGACTCGAACCCGGGACTTCTTGATTCCGAGTAGAGCACTCGGCCGCTACGCCACACCACACGACCCCACACAGTTTCTACGTTCGATTATATATAAGATTTATTAGGCATCCTCTAGCGTGTTTTCCTATATAACAATTTGGAGCTGTCCCCTGAGAAACATATTATAAGGTTAGTATGTACAACATATGCTGATGTGTATATTGTGCCGTTTCAGACATCAACGAGTGTAACACTGTGTGTAACGGGACGAACATCGCCTGTACCAACACGGAGGGTTCCCACACGTGCGGCTGTGTGGCGGGGTTCTACCTGGAAAAAGATGAAAACGGAGATACCAGCTGTATCGGTGAGGAACACTTACTACATTCAGTTTGTTACATAATGAATGAAATACCGTTAGATGGACATTTGTTCAGTAATAGTTGCATGTAAGCTCACACATAGCAGACAGATGCTCCAGGAGGACCACCCCCTACATGACCTCGTCCCTGTCTCTAGAGCTAACGCCACTGGACGCTCTCTTAGGAACAAGAACACTATATCCATCCCCCCAGCCAGAACAAAAAGACTCCAGAACTCGTTCCTACATCAGTCTATCAGACTATACAACCAGACTGTGTAAACGTGTCATATCTGGGATGCCCTGTTGATTTAATGTATATATTTTAATAGTATGTATATATGTGTAATATATGTTATGTACTTATCTTGCTGTTATTACTGTAAATACCAATGCCATTCAGGCAACACATATTTTTGTATGTCTGCAACGTTGGTATGAAATAAAGAATTGAATTGAATTGAATTGAGAAGAAAGGTGGCACCTGTGTCGGTGAGGAAAGCTTGTTACTAACAAACTCAGCAGCGCTAGATGAACAGTCGTACATAATCAGTGCAAGTTATCTACCACA